ATTCCAATCGGCAACGATGTCCCTTGATTCGAGCAAGATCTCCATCGTTTCGGCGAAAAAAGTGGACCCGAAGAAGCTAATCGAGGTCGGGGATCGCCTCCCGACGACCCCCCCCCCGATGGCGTCCCCGCGCTGCCCCCTCTGCTGCATCGGCTACGGCTCCATCCTCTCGAGCCTGACGACGCTGCTCTTCACGAGCTTCCTAACCGCGATTGCGATTCGCGGGGAAGGGCGGGTGCGGTACACCCTCAACGGGGCCGCCCGCCAGGCGCTGTGGATGGCCCTCCCAGGGAGCCTTGTGGGGGCGACCCTGCATTTTTTCCTTGCGGAGGCGATGTGGAGCGGGCGACGAGGGAGCTGGGGCGCGGCCTGGGCGAAGGCCATCGCCGTCAACAGCGTTCTTTGGGCCGCCGTGGTGGGGGGTGGGACGTTCGTCTGGCGGCGTCTGCTCCCCACCACCGCGGCCGGGCGTCGGCTTTACCATCGCTACCCCATCCCCGCGGAGGGGTTGGAGCTGCGGATGCTCCGCGGCGGTCGTGGCGGGCGCGCCTTGCTGGCCGGGATGGGGTGGTCCTACTGGGCGTGCGGGATCGGCTTTGGTCAGCTCGGGCTCGCCACGGTGGTCGTCTTCTGCGTCGCGACCGACCGGCCGTTCTTGATGATGGCCCCGCATGGCGGGTACGCGCGGTACTGCATGCCCCCATGGCGGCGGGAGCAGTTCGCCCTCATGGCAAACACCCCGAGCAACTCGAGCTGAGTCGGGTTGCGGAGGGGGGCGAATGAAGCGAAGGGAGCGAGGGAGGGGCACGTCGTCGTGATTTTTGCAGCGGCAACCCCTCTTCTCCCCTCTTTGTTTGGTTCGCATTTAGGGTCCAGAAGGGGAGGCAGCATGGTGTCATGGCCTTAAAAGAGGCCAAAGGGTAAGTTTCAATTGTTCTGGAAGGAATACCAACAAAGTTGGGGAAAAAAGATCGTTGACGCTGAAATGAGAGGTAAACCCTAACGACGATGCTTTCCCCGCTAGGATTTATATCTTGACTGATCCTTTTTTTTTTCTTAACATCTCACGGAAAGACCTTGTTTAAAAAAAAACAAAAGGCGCGTTCGCAAACGCTCAAGGTGAAGGACAGGGTCTTTTGTTCACTCTTGTCTCTTTTCTTCTGTCTGAAGTAGTAGGGTTACAACAGGGAAAAAGTATGGCAAAAGATCGAGTGAACTATCGAAATGCCCGTCAATCTAGCCTTACCTCACGCCAAGCGGAGAGCTCGATTGGAATTACCACTCTGTGTACTGCTATCGACTCCGAAATCGATCCACGGCCTGTGGCGCTTATGAAATGGTCCTTGGATGACTTTATTGTTGAGGAGAAGTTTGCGTGGTTGGATCATGCTACCAATGACGTGTCGGAGCCGCCTCCCTCCCCGGTGTCCTCTCCAGAATCTGACAAACAGGGTAAGTGCACGCTTCTAGTGAAGGTTCTGAGCGAAGGGGTGCCGGACCCGTTCATCGAGAACTTATTCCGGCATCGCTGCCCAAGAGGCGTGTCGTTTCACTTTCTAACGCCCGTAGACTTCGCGAGCTGTGCGGTTCGCCACGTGTGGATCCGCAGCTACGGCGACGAGCTTCGTCGAAATTTCCGCACTACCCAGCTTTTGCACACCCCTGCGGGTGAGGTTCGCCTGTACCCCGCCTTCCCCGTTCCCGTTCCACCCACCGCGCCGTACTTTCCGCTTTGCTTGTTGCCGGATTTGCGTTACACGGTGCTTTTGCGGGATATCCGTGGCAGCCTCAACGACGTCCTGCCCCGTTTGCGGGAGTTGCGACGCCGTGGCTTCCTCAACTACGGCCACATGGCGCGCCACGGCCTGGGCACGCTGCACACCTACAACACCGCGAAGTGCCTTCTGGCGCGCGATTACGTCGGATTCCTGCAGGGCTACGCGTGGGGCCTCTCTGAGGGCACCTCGGGCGTCCGCCGGGAGATGCCAGCGCTGCTGCAGGCCCTCGCGAATCCCCGCGCGACGCCGCAGGATTGGGGCCTCGTCCGCGACGGCCTTGAGGCGGCGCTGCGGAAGGACGGCGAGGGGGTGCGGCGGCCCCAAACGGGCCTCTACGCGCCGCACCACGAGCTCCTGCGGGATTTCCTCACGCGCGCGGCGGATGTGGCACCGCGGCGGCATGACGCCGCGGAGGTCCTTCGCGAGTCTGTCAGCCGCGCCTTTCTTCATGAAACGATGCGCACCGCGTCGGAGGTCCACTTCAACGCCCTGGCCTCGCTGCGGCGCGAGCGGTTTGGGGATCGGGTCGTCGTCGGCGACATCGTCGTGGCGCCGGATGACGACGACGACGATGGGGCGGGGCGCCGGATGCGCGGCGCGGGCGGGGATCAAATCAAAAACCTGGAGCACGCCACATCGGAGGATCCCAGGCGCTCGTGCGGCCGCGTATGCCGCGGGGATGTCTACGAAGGAGCGGCGGATCACATCAATGGCAACATCCTCTCTCCTTATTTACACCCGGACTGGGTAGATTTTGCCTTGCACGATCGTGGCGTCGGCGATGGGGTCGACTCGGAGTCTGAGCTACAGCAGTGGTATCGTCGACTACGAGTTGTTCGGACACAAGCTGAGGCGGATTCGTGCAGTATTTCGCAGGTTGTGCTTCCTTTTTGGGGACAGCAGGTGGATTCGCTTCCAATGCTTCCGGCGCATAGCATTGGTGAGATTTTTCGGCCTCTAGCACGCGAGTTGCAAATTGAAGGTCTTTCGCGCATGAAAACCGCCTCAATGGCGTCGTATCGGCACTTCGTCGCCAAACCATTCAGCATGGGGGCCTATTTGTTTGACACCCAGCGCGGGTGGGATTGGGTCGAGGGTGACTCATACGGAGAGTCCTTGAAGAAGAGGATGTATCAAGATCACGATGGTATTTATCGGGTCCAATCCCCTTTGATGGATGCGACCTCAAAAAACATGATAGCCAGGAGCGGCATCCGTGGTGAGAATGCGCGCAAATTTTTCCTCAAGCCCGCACAAAAACAGAACATTACCTGTGTGGTGGAGTTCACGCTGCCCCGCGGCTCCCCGGTGACGTCCGCACTGAGGGAGGTATTCCAGTTCACGACCCTCTCCCCTTCCGCAATATTCAGGCTTTTATCAGCGCATTAGTCTTACAATATAAACCCATTTGAATGCAATTTTTACCCTGTAATGCTTTCAATTTCTAACCTAGTCTTTATGTCCTTTCGGAGTTTATAATTCAACTCCAAGGCTCTTTTTTCTCTCCCGAATGTTTTTTTATTAAGGTCACTGTTTTTTCCTTTTTTTCCATTACTAACTTTTCCCTCAACTTTTTTTACTATAGTGACGGGATAATAAAATAGACCAATTCCCTCACTTCCTCTTTTTTCAGTGCTCTTTTTAGTTGTTTCTTCATACATAGATTCACATAATCCTTCCAATAGTTATACCATTACTTAGAGTAACATATATAGAGAGAATAGACACTTGGGATTGCACGTTCGAGTGGCACGACTGATTTTGTCTTGAGCCGTAATGCTGCGTCTGAAGCTGTCCATACGCCTGGTATTCGTGAAGCTGCCAAACATCGTCGATGTTCGCATCTTTCGCGATTCCATGCTTTGCATGGATCCCGACGAGAGGTCCTATCAGGACCTGAGCGACCTTGTGGAACGCAAGCTCACCTTTATGGAGCTGCCGCCTGCAGACTTTACGGTCTTTTATCGCGAGCCAGCCGCTGGTTCTGATCCGGTGAATAAGTCGCTTTCTTCGGGTGCCGATGCGGGCGACCGTGTAGTAGTAGACACCGCGTACTTTAGCGAGCTTTTACACAAATGGTGGAATTCTATTAGCGATGAAACCTTGGGGCATCGCCACCACGATGGGCATGCTTTTTCAGATGATATCCACGGATATGACGAGGACGAGGAGAACACCAAAGAAATTAATGTTTCCTTTGAAGTTGAGGTAAACAAACTGCTCAACGACAACTCCGCGAACGATGATCGAGGCACCCTTTTACGCAATACAACCAATAGCCTGATGCCAAGCAATCCAAAGGGCTGCGCAATATTGACGATGGAGAATCTCAAGGCTTACGCCGCCAGGCAACTGCCCGGGGTGGCGGCCAATCCAAGCCCTACCCCTCCTCCCCCGGGACGAGGAACGGCCGTGCCCGATGGGGAAACGCTTGTCCACGTAGCCGATCTCACCAGCCCGCCTCGGGTGGCGAACTATTTCCTCCGCTGCGTCGTCATGGATCTTCGCTTTAAAACCCCTAGGCCGGGGCTGACGGTCACCGAAATCGACCTGAGCGACGCCGCCGCCCCGACGCAGCTCATCACCGCCGTCTCCTTTGACGCCGCGGTGCAAAAGGAGGTGAAGGAGCACCTGCGTGATGACGGGCGGCAGGTGATTGAGCTCCGCCACGTCCACGTGCGCGCCAAGAACGAGGCGGAGGGGCGCTACTCGACCAACGCGCACCCCCTCCTCCTCCGTGTGGATCGCCACACGCGGGTGGAGATCGTCCAGATCCTGCCCGTCCCCATCCACGGCCGGGCGCG